TGCAGATGTTACTCAGGTTCATTATTCCTTGCTCTTTAGAAGTCGTGTGTGTGTGTGTGTGTGTGTGTGTGTGTGTGTGTGTGTACATGTAGAAGTTCAAGGACAAGCAGGTGCTGTCCTCCTTTTTTTGAGACAAGGTCTCTCATTGGCCTGGAACTCATCTACTAGGCTAAGCTCACCAGAGAGCACCAAGGATTTGTTTGCCTTTGCCTCTTTAGGGCTGAGATTACAAACACAGGTCATTGCATCTGCTTTCTGTTGTTGGTTGTTTTTTGTTTGATTTTTTAAAAAACAAAACAAAACAAAACAAACCCATGGGTTCTGGGACTTGAACTCATCCTCCTGATTGCAAGGTAAGCACTTTCTGCTTTACTGACTGAGGTATGCCCACAGTCCCTACTCACTTTGAAGGTTTTAATCTAATCTTTTACCAAAATGGAAACACTATCAGTTTTCAGCTACATGCTCTCTCAAGCATTACTGTATTAAGAGCATGGAAAGTTCCAGGTGAGTCTTCCCCTGAAGCACAGCCACTTAGCCTCAGGTAACAGTCATCACTTCCCAGCATCCTCATGAACATTTATGGGAAAAAATTAGATTTCCACTCTGAAAACCAGTGAGTAAGAAGGAGGTTTCTAGGTAATGTTCCCTTTTCACCAAATTAAGGCTGTCTTCTAGGATAAGTCTTGGGCAAGTTTTCATGACAGAATGGCAATACAGAGAACATTCACAAATCAAACTCCATTCTAAACACAATAAACCAGTGACAATGGCTGTGGACTTGACACCATTTTAAACTTTAATATTAATAACTAAAAAAATTGAGGAATCAAGAAAAAGCAAAAAAATATTTTGAAATTCTAAAGAAGTGATTTCAAGTAAAGCAAACCAAACAAACTCAAATGCATTAACTGTAGTTTTTGTTATAAAAGTCAAACAAATTCTCTGAAAAATATAAAAGGACATTTTAAGACAGTAAGTTTCCCACTGTCAGCAATGAATTCTATATGCACCCTTCCAACAATCAATCCTGCACACCTCACACCTACTTACTAAAATGGTCACAGAGTGTAGGACATGGATGAATGCTGGATGCAACAAATATGAAGTATCACATTCTTCAGAGGCCATGGTTCAGTCATCTTAACTGATCCTATGATCAAGGAAAACTGGTGGAAAATGGTCAAATTTATAACTGTTAGAAATACTTTGCCCAGAGGCCCCAACCTTAGCTGAGGAACTATTGGCAGCTGATCAGCTGGGTGAGGAAGAGTTTGGTCTTCTTTCAGGGAATCACGCTAAACAGGCTGACCAGGTTCCAGTGGATGAGCTCACACCCAGGGACATGCAGGGACACAAACTTGACTTGACAGGCCTTAACATATATGAAAAAATGCATGAAATTCAGTGTGTGTGTGTGGGACTATGAGGGGTGCTGTTAGGGGAGGAGGGGCCTAAATATGTTGAATATGTATTATATGAAATGCACAAAAATGTAATAAACAATATATATTAAAAAAAGAAGCAGAAGAAAGTGAATGTATTTGAATAACACTGTGCACTGTTCTTTCTGAAGCAGCTGCAGCTCACTGGGTTGTGTAAGTAGTGGGTCTCTGTCTACAAATACATTTTCTGTTCAATAATAAAAACAGTTAACAGCCAGAATGAGAGAGAGAGAGAGAGAGAGAGAGAGAGAGAGAGAGAGAGAGAGAGAAAGAGTGAGAGAGAGAGAGAGAGAGAGAGAGAGAGAGAGAGAGAGAGAGAGAGAAAAGAAAAACTTTTCCCAACATGGCAACACTGGTTGTGTGTGGCTACCAAGCACTAGAAAGGCAACTGGGGACACATGCTACATGACAGTCCTCAGACATGTCAAATAATTCATCATGAAAATTAATTCACCTGTTTCTTTGTGCTCTAACATTGCCATTAGAAAACATGTATTCTGTTGGACTGCATTATACCAGATATTACTTTAGGTAGAAATTATACTGTAGAGACCATGGGATACTGCTTCTGTTATGGTCCAGGAAGAACACTTGTCCATGTGCAAGAGGTACAGAGAAGAGATCCTTGAATCTGACCCTTTCCAAAAACACTATGACTCTTCTAAGACACTATGACATCTAAGAATAGAACTGTGCATAGGTCAGGAGAGAATCAGGAAGTAGGCCACGTCTAAAAGGAGAAGGCATTCTTGAGCCATGCTTTTTGCATGCTAATCCAAAGCAAATTTATTCATGACTTTGGCCTCTACAACTTTCACTGATTTTTCTGCGGTTTTTGCTGAAATCACTTTAAAGTACATGAGCCATTTCCCAGTAAACATTTCCCCCCAAAGATCCAATGATTAGCAATACAGCAAATGACTATAATCACAGGTACACAGACTGGATGTTAAGCCTGCTATGCAGGGAGCCATCTGAGGAATCTTCTCCAAAGCTAGACACAGGGAGAATATTCCTATTTTCATTGTACTGTCCATGAACATTCTGCCATCAAGTTTGAATCTGTGTCTATAGGGATCCACTTCCTCTTGAGCTACCTACTAGTGCTCCAGAGCAGAGTCTGAACACATATATATCAGAGCAAAGCACTAGGCAATGTTGAGGGGACAGAGTAAAACAATTCAGATCTGACTCACTCTGTCTGCTGACAGCTAGTGGAGGGTATTAGCATCACAGTAGTGTTAGGGAAATTAAATGAAGGAGGAAGTATTTTAATCAAAAGATCTGAGACAGTACCATGTCCAGAGAATAGGTTTCAGCTAGTGAACACCATACATTTCAGTCATCACTTTGGAGGCAATATTTGACGTCTCTAGAAAGGCACAGAATATGAACAAAGAGAAGTCACAAGGAGCTTACAAAAAGAACACTACACGGAGAACCAGGAGTCCCAGAGGAAGAGATGTAAGGGGAATTAGACATACTATAGACATGACGGAAGATGAAAATCGACAGCTGTGCGAAGTAAAGGAAGTCTTGTCTGCATCCATAGGCTGAAGATGGAGTCAATGCAAAGATGGAAAATGAAAGGTTGGGGCCAGAGGGTAAAGGTGCCTGCTGCCAATCCTGAACACCCGAGTTCCATTCCTTTCACTATGTGGATAGTGGAAGACGAGAACTGATGTCCACAGGTTGTCATCTGACCTCCACAAGCACACTGCTGCACACACACACACACACACACACGCACACACACACACACACACACACACACACACACACACACTCAGGATAAATAAAAATGTAATGAAATTAAAACAAAATAGAAGGCAGGCATTTCAGATGCATGGATATGTGGTAACTGAGTCATCAAATTTCAGGCTCTATAGCCAAGTGGCCAGGGGCAAGGAGAAGCCTCATGGGCTGTGAGCACAGAGTGCCAAGGGGAATAATTCTCCAAGACAAGCAGAAAACATGGGGAAATAGGGAGATGCTTTTTCCAGACTCTAAGGTTTCTCCCTTGGTAAGTTCCTGTGCAGATGCAGTACATGCTGGGCCATCAGAACATATTCCACACAGGATCATTTCAAACTGATTAAGGATGTTTATGGCAGAGGAAGGTGAAGGAATTGAAGTACATATATTGATATTTATGCAGAGGAAGTAAGGGATGTTTAAGTACATGTTCAATCACATGCAAAGAACACTCTGATAACTAGAAAACCAAGCCTTTGCACACTCAGACTTTGATAATTAGTAACCTCAACAGCTACACCTTTACTCTCCAAGAGCTCCTGCACTATGACCCATTTTCCAAGCTTTATTTATTTTGAATTTTTCTTTTTTTATTGAGCCTTTAAATTTTCATACAACATTTCCCACTCAAATCTAGACCATCTCCCCCATCCATACCTCCCCCTATCTCCCCTCCGAACCCTATGCACTCTGCCATACAGGCTAAGCTTCATTTTTGTAGCATAAAGGCTAACAAATACATTAGACTTTAGCATTTAACTTTTACTGCTAGTATCTGCTTAGGTATTTAGGGCCTGATCTCTATTTTTATGGAGCAAGAGTTTGATTTCCTAATACAAAATTTAAATAGAAATTTTATTACATAAAAATGATTTAAAAAATATGAGAAACATCTACTAAAATATATATTTAAAGTTTGTTGTTTATTCAAAATTGGAATTTTACTCTGGCAACCTGTAAGTTACTAGCATGTATTTGCTTAATATAATTGTAATTAATTTTTGTTATTTGTCTTGAAACACTTTGAAAACAAATACATGTGCATAATTTTTTGTAAAAAAAAATCACCTGGAAAAAATAACAAAAATAATGATTTTAATTGCCAAGAGTCTGTAATTAACACATATTTCTTATGTGTAAACAAGTAGGTTTAACACCAAGACAAAAACCTTTCTTAGGGATTGCAGCTGTTCTCTACTGTAGAGATCACTAATCTCTCAGTAAACAATCACGAAAACAGCTACATATACCAATTAAGGTGTACAGATTCATAATATTGTCACATGTAATCCAGAATGAAAAGTTTTGAGACAGGGTCTCCTTGTAGCACCAACTGGCCTAGAACTTGCGGTGTGGAACAGGCTGGCTTCGAACTCACAGAGATCCACCTGCCTCTGCCTCCCAAGTGCTGGGATTAAAGGTGTGCGCCACCATGCCTGGCTCAGAATGAGAAAGTTTTATCCCAAATAGCAAAGCACAAACAAAAGAAATCCACATCAGACTGAAGGCCAGAGATTAAGTTAGGGATAGGGTTAGTGTTGACTTCCTATCTGATAGAATTTAGAACTACCAAGAAGACGGGCTCCTATCTCTGTGCCCCCCGCCCCCAATGATGGCCTTTAACCTGGAACTGGGAGATGAAACACATCCTTTCCCTCTAAGTTGCTTTTGTTACAACGTTTTATCACAGCAATAGGAAAAGAAACTCAGACATTAGGAGTATTACCAAACAAGAGCACCTCCTGGGAACCAATGGAGACCAGCAAGGTAAGCAACTGGAAATCGCTTTCCAAGTCTTACCCGACAGTTGAGCAGTGTATATAGCACGTGGTCTGGGGTGGTCTGTGCCCTCCACTGTAAGACCTCTGAGAGGAACAGGAACTAGAAGGACAAAAGGATGTTAGGGTCAGGCCAACGGAGTCTCCATTGGGCAACCTCAGTATTTAAGTAAAAATAGTTTCAGAGCATGCAAATGTCCTAAGATGGCATGCTTACCTCTACAGAGGCATAAAGGTACATTCATTTTTCCCCAATATATATTTTATTGAATTTCTATGCATTTCATACATGTATCTTAATCATATTTAAAACCCCTCCCTTGTCTGCACCACCCAATAGGCACCCCCACCAGATTTCATGCATTCTGTCATATATGTTAAGATCTACTGAGTCACGTTTGTGTCTCCAGATGTCCCTCAATGTGAATTCATCCACTGACACCTGGTCAGCCTATCTAGTGTCACTCACTTAAGGAAGTCCAACTCTCCCTTCACCCAGCAGTGATCAGCTGCCAATAGTTCCTTGGCTGAGGTTGGTGTCTCCTGCCCATTTCCCCAGTTCTGTGCTGGGTTTGTCTGGTTTGAGTTTGAATGGGTCTTGCGCATGCTGTGTAAGGACACATTCATTTTAAAGAAAAACTCTGACAAATTTATTATCAATGGGTTGAGCATGTGTTTTCAACTTTCCCCTCTGTAGCTATTTAGAATTCATTGCACTGGACAGAGACTAGCAGTTCCAAGGACTGCTGAAGTACCCTCAATGAGGCAAGTTCTCTATAACTCAGCCACAGGGACAAGAGAGCTATTTCCCTATAGGCAGAGACAACCAATACAGCAAACCTTTCTTCCTAGGGTGGCCAGAAGATGCAATGCTGATTTCTGTGGGTGTGCAATGAAAGAATCAGATCTAGTCTACTTTAAAGCATGGCTTCAATTAAGTGAGTGGTTTTAGAATGGTAATTCCCCAGTTGCTTTGCAAATTATATAGATTAGACGCATCATATTGATTTAGTCTGTAATAAAAAGGACAGTCCTATTTCATGTCAGGATATAGGAAATATTCATGTAGCATTCTAACCCCTTTTATGAATAGACCACATGAGGAGAATGTGAAGATCAAGTTCTTTCAATGAACGAATTGCTATGTTACTGCACTGGTAGTATTTACATGATTTTGTAACACTCTTTAATAGCCATATAGAATGGGCCCAACTTTTGGCTGTGGAAAAAGGACTTCTTAGGTGAGCCCTGAGCATGAAGGGTTATAATGGAGACTTAGATGTACATAGGCAAGTTGTATGTTGTGCTATGTGTGCAGAAAGGGGCTGGGTGTTTGCTCCTGAAGCTGTACTAAGAAGGTCTGGCTGTTTAGAACCAAAGGATGAAAAAGCTGCACACCAAGGTTGTGAGGCAGTGGGCTTCATATCAGGACCTGTAGGGTAGTTAGAAACAAGTGAGGAGACACTAAGAAGGGATAATGGTTCCCAAACCTTTGCGCTAGCCCTGGCCCATGTGAGATGACATCACTTTCTATTTCTGTGCTACAATGAAATTTCCTAAAGCATCATATCCCCTTGATAAATATTTCCCTATACTATTATATGAATGTATACTGTAGGCCAAAGAGGGAAGGGGGAAGGAGGGTACTATCAAAGATAGTACAGCAGTAGATGTAGAACTGACAGAGTGGGACATTCAGGGGGCAGTCACTATGATTCTGCACCTAGCTAACATAGCATCTAATTCAGCTTTACAGTGAAGGGGAACAATGTGAGCTCTGACCTCGGTTCTCACCTTCCGGGCCTGGTCATTGTCCTCTATCTGTCCCAGGTCTCTGCCACTTGCCTGGGCAATCCTCTTCCCAGACACCAGATTTCCCACCATCACAGAGGCGGGGCCGATTTCTGGAAGGAAAGAGAAGTATGACCAGTGAAATTCCTGAAAACGTGACTCACCATCCTGGTAAAGGGCTAACCAGGGGAAAATGATTTGAAGGCCCCACCTTCTAACCACAATTACAAGAGATTTCGAAGAAATCACTAAAATAATCATGATGGCTGCTTCAACAAGCCTGGATAAGGGTTATGAAGAAATAATGTTTTCATCACATACAGAATCCTTTTAGTGCCCATGAGCCAATGCTTCTATTTTTCCAGTGTTAACCCAACAGGTACTGATGTGTACATATATATTAGAGTGATTATAAAAATGGTACAGAAGACAAAAACAGGATTTTTAAAATGATGCAAATTGGGGGGGTACTTTAACTGAGGAGAGAAGAGAGAGGGCTGTACATGGGCAGAAAGGAAAGAGAGATAAATAATACGTAAGTAGTGTGAAAAGTCAAAGGGAAATGCAGTATTGAATAAGTCTACTGAAAAACATACATGTAAATGTGACTGCATGTGTACAGCTGAGGGCTACATAACAAAATCACAGTGCCAGGCACAGAAAACCTCCCTTCAAGATGTTGGTTAGGGTGGTCCAAGAGACTCCCAAAGTAACACAAGCTATTGCTATAGCCCTTGATTACCTCTCAGAACTTGAAGGTAAGACCCTACTGCTGAAGACAGGACATACTTCAGACACAGGACTTGGAGCAATGGAGCTGGAACTGACCAGGAAGCCTTCTACCTGAAGACTAGCTTTCATAGTATGAGAAGATACTATGCAAGCTTCCAAGGAAGATAACCAATCAATTATCCTATAGTCTATGAACCACAACGACTGGCCCAGCAAACTATCTCTATAGGTTACAGTAGTGGTACTTTTACCTTGGGGGTAATCAATAGCTGTCTAATTGAACATAAGGCCAGCTCAGCAGGAAGGAAATCATACATGGCACTTCAAACACAGCAAAGAACACTTGGCTGGAGAGGTCACGGATCCTAGAGAAAAGCCTACTTCTGTCACTTCTGTAGACTAATGTAATTTCTTACTGCATTCTAAATACATTTCCTTATATTTACAGACATGTGTACCTCTTACTTCCCATCAAAGAAGCTTCCTTTTTTTGCAACAGATGGAAAATATGATAAAGTTCCACAACTGGTCAAACACAGAAAATAAGTGACTGGGAGGTACCCAGCCCTAAGTGACACACTGACAATGCAACTTCTAACTAAGGCTCAGGGAACATCTTTGAAGAGGGGCTGGAAAAAATATAAGAGCCAGATGGACAAGACACCTGCTGCTAGTTAATGCATTCTAGACATGATAGGGAAGCTGCACCAGTGAACTCTCCACAGTGTGGTAGTCTCACAAAATTTGCATAATGACAAAACCAGTTGACATGCCAAGGTGGATGGGGGCAATTTCACTAGGTATCTACCTCAAGATGAAGAGCTATAGGCACTCACTGGATGCTGAAGGAGGGAGAATCAGTTTTCTACAGGAATGAGCTTCCTGAGAAGCTGTTACCAAATGAATAGCACTAAACACAGGTACACATGAGCACCACAAACTGACTCACTGCATTAAATATATTGAAAATATATGTATATGTAACAATAATAATCAAAGAAGAGGACAATAAATTGAGAGAGAGTGGAAGGAGACATAGGAGGAGTTGGTGGGAGACTGGGATGGACGGAAATAATGCGAACAGTCACGTATGAAAGTCTCAAAAAGTAAAAAAGTTACTAAAGATTTTGAAAAGATGATGCATTTCACTGATAAAGACTTCTGGATTGTATCTGTTTTTGTTTTATGGTATTATTACATAAAATAAGAGTTGACCAAAACCAAATAAATTATAATAATTTACCTCTTGGGGTAGATTCAAATAACACTACCCATGACAGATAAGATACAGAATCACTTATTTCTGTTTAGTTACCAGTAAGGTTTGAGATTCTCCATCATGTCACAATAGAATGAAAAATGAACCCAGAGACCACTGTAAAATCAAAGTTCTCCTCTCACTTCCCTGTTACAAACTCAATGATGTACATCCTTTCCCTAGTTTAAGTGAGCAGCTTAAAAGAGAAAAATCAGCTGTACTTTTGATATCTTTGCTTTTCCATTTATCAAAGAAGCAAGTTTCTTTTTAAAAAAGTCTTTGAAAAATTTTTATTACATTTATTTATTTATTTATTTATTTATTTATTTATGCACACAGGCCATGGCACGAGTGTGAAGGTCAGAGGACACCTTGTGGGGGTAGGTTCTCTCCTTCCACCTCGTGGGTCCTAGGGAATCAAAATCAGATCATAAGGCTTTGCAGCAAGCACTTACCCACTGAGCCATTTTGCCAGTACAAAAATCTCTTGAAGTGCAGAAACTAAATTTTTTTTTTTTACCGCTAGAAACTCTATAAAGCACTCACATTTTCTTTTCATTAAACACATGCATGAAAAGGGATATACATATATATTTAATAGGGAAAGGATAGATATTCTAGAGAATATCTGTGTGTGTGTGTGTGTGAGAGAGAGAGAGAGAGAGAGAGAGAGAGAGAGAGAGAGACAGAGAGACAGAGGGGATAGATGATACATAGAGGGGGCAGTGTACAGAGGAGAAGGGGAGAAGGAGAAAAAGAATGGTTATTGAAAGAATTACAGTATAAGGACTGAGGAGATGGTTCCATGGGTAAACTGTTGTGCAAGAGTGAGCAGTGGAGCTTAGACCCCCAGAACCTACATACAAGCCAGGTGGGCATAGTGGCCTACCTGTAATCCCAGAGATAGGATCCTTGGAACAAGCTGGCAAGTCAGACCAGCTGAATCAGCAAGCTCTGGGTTAAGCAAGAGACCCTACCTCAATATATAAGGTGGAAAGTAATTGAGGAAGACACCCCACATCTGTTAAGGTTCAGATAGCCCCGCCCCCTCACCAACAGGGTCTCAGGGACCTTGCAAGCCCCTGAGAAAGGGTAACTGAGTTGATAAGCACCCTGGTCTTTGAAGTCAAGAGAAGCAGACTTTTCTCCACTGTTTGGCCAACATAGCAGGCTTCCCCTTTGATCTCTAAAGGGGGCAGGTTTTAACAGTCCTGCTCTCCCGCTGCCCCCCCCAACTTAAAAAAAAAAACAAACCTTCCCACCTTCTGAGGGAAGCAGAAGCCTCCTGGTATAAAAAGACCCCAGCTCATGACCCGGGGCAGACATTTTTCCTACCTGGAAGGGAATCTGTCCCATGTGTTCCTTTCCTAATAAACTCTATTCTGATGGAGTTTTATCTGTGTCCTGGTGCTTCCTCCTGATCAACTGGATTCATCCATGGCTACTTTTACCTATCAACATAACCTAAGGCCTCCACTTACATGCACACAGAGGTGCACCCACATATGTGTGAACATGCATATGCATACATACACATAAGGGAAAAAAGAATTATAGTAGAAAATAACAAAGGTGACACAATCAATTTGTACTTAATTCTTGGCTTTATGGAATATAAGTTGAAGGTAGACGGGTAAGTCAAATTGCTATTAAACTTCTGGTGGTCAAGTTACGTTTATCAGTCAAGAGATGCATGCTATTACTACACATAAAGACCTGGAAGTTTGCAGCTCAACAAGTAGATCATGGGATGTATCAAAATAAAAAGATTCAGTTCAAGGGATGCAGTGGCAAAGAACAAGGCTCAGAACTGGCCAGCTACCATGACAACAACCACAACGGTCCTCCTTCTAGAATGACTCAGAGCATAAGGCATGCTAGTACTTACCATCCTTTAGCAGACTTCCAAATGAGCGCAGGGCCACTCATTATAGACATACAGTGGCCCATACAGAATTTAATTTGCCAGAAAAGACTCAATTTGTCAAAGCTGTGGGTAAGATGGTGGGGTACTTTAAAGCAGGGTTGAAATTGAGAGATGAATCTGTAGCAGGCTTTGAGGTTCCTGACTGCTAGTACCTTTGTGTGAGGCTAGATTCTGTATAATCTCAAGGACATATCACAAATACTCAGTCAAAGCATTTCAGAATTTTCCCATGTGGTAAGTGTGGACAGACTAAATTTCTTTTCTTAGTTTTCACTAAAGTGCTATGAAAGAAAAATAGTCTTTTCACATTTAACAAAACAACCAAATCTGGTATGTTCTGCTTGCTAGAATAATTGGAGCATTGGCTATGGTAAAAGCCAGTTAGTTGGTTACTTCTGCAAGATCATCACTCCTTCCTGAAGTTGCACCATCACTTATCATCCATTTGAGACTCAAGTACACACATTTTGGAGTGTATCTCAACTTGCATTTTCAGAGTGTGAGACAGCAATTCACCAAAAGAGCATTTTATACATGTCCGTATGACTTCTACAGGGACAGCTTTCATGGACTCCTAATAGGAAGAGATGTTATAAAGGAAGCAATGGAAGTCTCCAAGCACCATGTGTGCGTGAGTGCAAGTCCTAACCTCGACCTGGAGAGAACACAAGAAGAAATAAACTGTAGTGAGGAAAGAGCTCACAAGGTAACAGAGGCACCTAAAGTAAGGCACTGTGTAGACCCTGTACATCCTCAAAATATTCATCATGTCCCCATTTTGAACTCTCACAACTGGAAACACCTTTAAACCAGCTCAGGCCAGTTTCCAAGCTAGCTTTTAGAGGACTCACTTTGCCCAGCCCTCAGTTAAGATACATCATTAACATAAATATCAAAGATAAAAAGCAAATGGCTGATACAAAAGTAGGACATATAAACTGGACTGGGAGGCAAGGCCCTCCTCAGGTGCTAGACACTTTGTGGGACTCCTCACAGTGTTCTTTATTCTGATGGACTACCTCAAGCTACAGCTATGGACCTGTGTCTATTCTGATGTTTTATAATATTGTTGATAGCTTCTGTGATGGGTTAAAGATCCTTAAAGACTTTTGTGCTTAGTTTCATAACTGCACACGCACACTATTATTAACAAAATAAATAAGAACTTGCCCAGTAGAAAAGGAATCTTGTTGCTTGTGACTCTGTCTTTTAAGAGCTCAATTTGCACCAGCTAGCAAAATCTTTACATGTAAGTAGCCATGGTCAATGTCTGCTGTAGTTGCCAGTATCAGTATCTGTTCAGAGTCATTTTAAATCCTTCTTCCAAAGGGGTCTTTGAAATCATCAGTGTAACTTCCTTACCACATAAATGGAAACTGAGGCCTCAGAGCAATATCCTCTAGGGGCCCATTACAGGTCATCAGGAGATCTAGAGAAGTCAGTCACAGGGCCTTAGCTTAGATGTCATTTATTATTTGAGAGAAACAGAGAGAAGAAGGAAGAGGAGGCTGGGAGGGAGGGAGTCAGGGAAGAAAAGAAGAAAAAGGCAAAGAGGTAAGGTGTTCCTTAGCATCTGTAAGGCCCTGGGTTCAATTCACAGAATGAAAAAAAGAAAAGTCTTTTGGAGACACATAATTATGTTACTTTACCTCTCAATATAACAGAAAGAGCTGATGCATCAGCTATTTACATAATATACAGTATATACTGTGTACTACATATTGATATTTATATCTTCCTTCTTAGACTTAAGCCATCCTATACAGCTTTATTGAGGAAGGTGTAGCATCAAAGCATTAAATCATTGAAACCACAATTTCCCACCATCCCTAATGAAAGTGGCTTTTGTTCAGGTGTCCTGATTTTTGCTCTGGCTTTAGACTAAGATCTTTTTCTTCAGGCTGTTTTTTCCTAATTATTAAGTTTCTTAACCTTGGGCTGGTAAGGCCAGTCACTATGAAACCATGTCATCTACTTGAAAATGACTCTCCCTATAATAATTATCTACCCTGAAGCTTTACATGATGCTCAACTGGTAGGCTTTGCCCTGCGGACCACTGACAGAGGGTCACTATGGTCAGAGCTCCCACTAACTCATTAGCCAAATAATGGACAGGAAGGTGCTGGCACCTTCAGTTTTGTACTGAGGACATGCTCGTGAGTTCTGCAGTGACATGAAGTTTAATACTACAGGAACCAACATGCCTGCAAAGAGCAAGAACTGTATTCTTCCAATGTTATCTACGTTCTAAGATAATAGGGTCAAGAGAGGCTATTTCCCTGTCTTCTGAATGTTCTCCAAAGGGCAGCACCTCTTATCTCCTTGAGGCTTGCCTGTTTAAGGACTACTGATACCAATATAAAGACGTGGACACTCAGGGCTAAAGAGATGGCTCAGTGGTTAAGAGCACTGGCTGCTCTTGCAGAAGACCCAGGTTCCATTCCTAGCACCCACATGGTGGCTAACAACCATTTGTAACTCCAGTTTCAGGGGAATCAAAGGCCCTCTTCTGACCTCCACAGGCATTGCACAACAGGGGTATACTTACATACATGCAAGCAATACATGCGTACACATAAAATAAAAATAAATAAAATATTTAAAGATGTGGACACAAGTCAGCTGCAGCTCTACATTTTACTACAGGAATCATATATACCAAGGATAGAGAAAGCAAAAGGAAGATGTATAGGGAAAAGAAATAGAGGAAATACTTAGGGAAATGAACATAAGGAAAAAAATGAGACTGGTGATCGTACACCTGCAATCCCAGCACTTGGGAGGCTGAGACAGAAGAACTCTAAGTTTGAGGCCAGCCTGGCATATACACAAAGATTCTGTCTCAATAAACACCAGCAGCAACAACAATAAAAAACAACAGTAGGTGAACAACAAAAAAGACTAAGCCAGTATGCCTGGGAAGCCAACACCATAAGGATTCCCTATGCTCTTGGATAATGAAGTATAATTACACCATGGGAGATCACACTACTTAGCTGCATAAATCCCATACTATGTACCACACAAAATATCCCTGAGATGTAGAGAGAGTAAGAGCAGGAGTCTGCAGCCTGAAGACCTGGGTTCAAGTCCTCAGCCTGCTATCTGCTTGGGCAACCACTTTTCTCCTGTGAGTACTACATTCCTGATCTTTGAACTTGATGCAATCAACAATCACCTGGCCACTGCACTGAAAGGCCCATGTCCTGGAGAAGTGCAGGCAGTCTGCAGGCCTCAGGTCACCACTAAAGAGCCCCTAGGGTGAGATTTTCTGAAGTGGCATATACGTTTATTAGAAAGGGCACTACATCCAGCCACCAGCCAAGTTAATAAAGGCTGGTAACCTTTAGGCTGACCTGCTAAAACCTCTAGCCAACATTATCATTATTTAACAAGTAGCAGTAAAAGGTCCCAAGCTAGACTAAAATAGGGAATAGGAGGTGGGTAGGTAACATATATTAGGAACAGAGCATTTTGCCTGGGTTTAGTCTGTCTCTGGTGCAATTTAGCTGTATAACTTTAGATAAAACTCCTCAATCTCTCTGTGGCTCATTTTCCTCACCTATAAAATGAAGAGCATCCTCTTCATGCAGTCCCATAAGGATGGACAGATTAACACACATGTGATGAGGGTATGCTATGTACCATGTGATGTTCATCCAGATTTGGTCTGTACACACCAGCCCCTCTGCTACCACACTGGCAGTTCCTACCTTGTGATCTAGTACATTCTGACAATAATTCCCATGTCATGACAACTGTGTGCAACCTAGTAGTGTATGACTTACTCAGTCACTATGAGAATCAAGTCAAATAAAGGGCGATGTGTTCCTAACCTGCCAGGCACCAGACAGAATTTTATAAAACAGTGTCAGTCAGAAATAAATACAGAATGCTTCATGTTTCAAGATGTCTGCTTATAGCCTGCTGCCTTCCTTGTAAATCAGCCATATAAAACCTGCAAGGGTGTATTATCCTCATTCTATACACAAGGGCTCTAAGGGGTCTTTGCCTTGTCTAGGGCTGTGCATAATCAAGTTCAACCGGAGTGTTAACACCCTGCGAGGATGGACACCTCTTTCCACCCACATGTTCCCCACAGTCCCACCTGTGAGTGAACCTAAGTGTCTCAGCAGAGTTGCTGCATCCCAACCGCCCATGTGTGAGAAGGTACTCCCTGGAGTGTGCGGCCCTATGGAGAGGAAGTGAGTATGGAAAAGCACCAGGATTCCTCACACATAGCTCTTCCTGAGCATGGTGTGGAAAGAATACAGCTCAGAGAGCCCACTCAAAGACAAGCACAGACCGGGCAGGGCTGCTGGGTATACCTGGCTGCTTCTGCCGAGGTTTAGGCAAGTTTGTGACACAGGTGTGTGGGCACATCAGGACGTTGCAGGGGTGAAGGGAGCCCTCCAAGAACAGCTGCTTCGTTTCTGACAAATGGATGCCTCCAAGTGGCGTTTTGGGAAGGGTATTTGCTGGTACCAAGGCCAGGCAATAAACTCCAACTTGATGTATACTGTCAATCGCCTAAAAAATAAGAAAGAGGCAATCATATCACAACAGAAGCTATAAACAGAAACCGTAAATAGTGTATTTATTTAGGTTTTTTGTTATGTATATATTCAGGGACACACGTATATACGTGTGTGTGGAGGCCACACACAGATACTGTTCACTTTAATATTTTTGGAGATAGCGTCCCTCACTGGCCTGGAACTTTCCAACTAGGCTAGGATAGCAAGCTAGGGAGCCCAAAGATCTGCCTGCCTCTGCCTTCCCAGCATTGGGATTACAAGCATATGTCATCATGCCTGGCTTTTTCATATAGGTTCTAGGGCTTGAAGTCAGATCATCACGCTTGCATAGCAAGCATTTTACTAATTGAGCTACCTCTCCAGTACCCTTTTTGTTTTTTGAGATAAGGTCTCATACTGTAGTCCAGGTTAACTAACTTGTGGCAATCCTCCTGCCTCAGCCTCCCAAATGTTGGGATCACACTCATGAGCCAATACACGCAGGCTCAGCAACTAATTACATGCCCTAAATGGTGTCTATAATATACAGAAGTACACCTGGTGTGGAGAGTGCCTGGGTATATGAATAACAAAGCAAGACATGGCTTTCTAATTACAGTAAAAAAAGATGCATAGTTTTACACAGGACTTGTGGAAGACCATAAATAATTTAAAAGGGAGTTTGGAGAAAAGAATTTATCTTGTCATCTTCTCAGAGTGAACGCTAAGAAGCAGTTCTGCAGCCTCTGATTCCTGCCCTTGGTCTGTTCAGCATGCTTCCTGGACACTGGACAGAATTTCTGATGGAGTGGAGTACAGGAAAGCAAACAGGCAAAGAGATGTATGCCATAAGGATTAGGCCACAATCCTATAATGAATGAAGGAAGCTGGAGCCATAAAAAGAAAGCTTTGAGGCAAAGCCGTGCTACCTGGAGCACTCTGCTCATCCACTGAAAGCTGTCCTCTTCTGTGGAGTCTGGCCTCTGCTCTGCCACGATCACTATCCTTTCATCATGAAGGACAGTCACTGAGAACACAGCTATCCTGCAGGGACAGAGGGGAACATACGGTAATCACAGGGCAGACATGCTTTTAAGGACTCCAGTGGCAGTGAGGACTTTATAACCATTAATTACAGAGTTCCTATGACTCCATCATAGAGGCAAACTTGTCCCAGACTCCCACATGTGCTAACCCTAAGGGGTAAGGAGAAGCTTAATGGTGCTTGGAGGCAACTGCCCATTTACTACTTGGAGGCTGCTTGCCATCTCTTAGGTCTGGGGGATGAGGTTACAGGTGTCCACCATATAGTCAAGGACAGCTACAAATGCATCCCAAAGGAAAACAGTAAGCTTACTTAAAATATGATGAGATTTCGTATGTGTTTGTGTGTTGGTTTGTTTTATAACTCAACCATGCATTACCCAAGCGTGAACCGTGTCATGTCGCAGTGTCCAAAGGTTGGGTATGCTTGGCTCCAGACAGAGCGAGTTTGCATATGACTAGAAAATGGTCAGTGTTTAGAGACCCTCACCACTCATTCTGGAGTTTGCATCTGTGAAGTTTTCCTCTACACAGTGATATAAAGTTTGTTTGCAAGCAACGAGTCTTTGTTCAAATCTGTCTGCTGTGTATGGTCAGCACACAATTATGGCCACTCCAGACCTCCATGACAGCCCTTTCACAAACAGGTTCTAGTTTTGGCATTTTTAAAATCAAAGATTTTAAAAAAATCTTTGAGAATTTCACACATGAGCATGGTGCACCTTGATCACAACCATCCTCTGCTCTCTCTCCAACTCCCCCTCTGCTCCCCCAACACAGTTCTTCCCAACTTCATGTCCTTCTTTTTCAATAACTGAGTCCAATTAGTCATGCTGCCCATAAACTAAGGGTGGGGCAGTGGGAGCGTCTCTCCCCTCCAAGCTGGCAGTTTTAACTACGTGCATCTTGTGCAGGTCTTGTGCAGGTCCTCACAGCTGTTGTGAGTTCAGGTTCTACTTATTAAGACTTCAAAGGCAGCAATGAGATAGGCATGTGGTACTTCCTCCAGTCCTATTAGTTTGCTAAGCTGCAATCTAAGCCAAGAGACGCTTCTGATTTCCTCTACAGTATGAACAAACTCAAGAGCTGCAGGAACAGAGCTAATTAATATTTGCTGACTGCCTGCTATATGTCAGACAAGGTAGCGATAAGGAAGAAAACCATGGGGCCTTCAGGAAATACACGGATGGGCATTCGCTTTTCTGCACAAATTAGGATGGTTGCTATTTCTGTGCAGTTGTTCATTATGGGATTTTTCAAATGGATATTCTTATTTACCTTGGATGTTAAGTTAGAGTATCTCGAGGAGGTCAGGAAATTTCTATTAATTCTTAAGCATTCATAACTAAATGAAATTTCAGTGGTCACTGAGTCCAGATGCTTCAATGTGATAGAAGAAGAAACTGAGTCAAAACAAAGTGAAGGAATATGCAGCCTTTCAGCTCTATCTAACTATAAAAAGTATGGTCTACCAAACACATGCATTTACTTTGTATATGGCTACCACTAACCTTCCTCTGTAGACAAACTTCATGGGCTCCACAGCCAAAGCTGTGGCCACGATGTCATCTGCATTGTGTCTGCGCCCACTGACCACCATCAGGCCATCCATCTTACCCACCACAAAGACGAGGCCCCCAGGACCAACAAACCCCAGCAATCCTGTCCTTATGAATGGGTATTCACTGATTGGCGCCCCGGAGCTCGTCATGGGGAACACCTAGGGGAACAAGGCTGCAATTAGACCATCTCTTACAGGATTAGCAAATTCTGTTCTTACTTCTCTAGAGTGACTGCAGCTACTTACCTACTGCCAATAACCTGCCAGCGTGAGGTCAGGGTGACTGTTCACAGTCTACAAACAGTGTAATGGCTATTCTTCATTGTCAACTGGGCTCCATTAGAGTCACCTAGGAGACACACTTCTGGGCATACCAGAGAGCTTTAACTGAGGGAAAACGCAGCCTGAATGTGGCTGGTACTATAACATGGGCTATGGACTTGAGCCAAAATACACCTTTCCCTCCCTAAGTCACTTTTTTCAAGTATATTTGCCATGGCAAAGGCAAAAGTAACTAATGCACAGAGACATCCACCTCCCCTTCACGACCACAGCAGCTCTGCAGAGTGCTGTCTCTGCATGTCTGTGGCTGGGAGGGGCCTCAGGTGGCTCCTCTCACAGGCTATGAGCCTTCAGCCAGGCAGCAGCCAGAAACCACTGCACTGTGCTCTAAACACCAGGTGAAAGTGATAAATGGAGACTCAAAGTACATTTCTAAACAACACACATAGTTGTAGCTGATCCCGATCCATTAAAATGTTACGTTTCCTTATTGGAATATGCTGGAAAGGAGAATGTAAAGAAAGCAAATCTAGTCTGAAATGTAAGCCTTGTTTCCTTCAACACTGCAAATAGGTCACATAGAAAGAGAAAGGAAGGTTTTACTTAGTCTATACTCGACTCCAGTTTCCAGGGTATTTTAGGGAGCTGAATTCATGTGCAACAAAGTCACAGTCCAAGATCTAAACATTAGGGGTGCATCCTATTTATAACTTAACCAAATACTGTGTTACTCCTAAGGTCAAGCACTACATAGGAAAGAGACAAACGTTCTAAGAATACTGTGATGCAGCACAGAACACTTGAACCTGTGAATTTAACTCTTAGTGTCTCTGTTCACTATGTAATGTGTGCTCGCCACTCACACAACCATATACCTACACATGCCAGATGATCACACTGTTGTACATGTTTTTACACACAACCCACGTGTATACCTAACACACAAATATACAACACATATCCACAAACCACAAGCACACTTATATCCATAGTATATGTATATACACCACATATACTACACATACTTACTTGTGGCACTGAAATTATTTAAGTGCGTATTTTTTCAGGTTCTCCTGAGTTCACACCTGCTCAGGTCTAGCCTATGCTACAATACCATGCAGGGATGATCAGCTAGCTTTCTGAGTGCTTCTACCCACATCCTATGCACATGCTCTCTTATCATGTATGTGGTTTTTCATCATCTACCTGTCAGCTAATACTTGTATTAAATAGGCAAAGGTGAGAACAATGACAAATATACAAAAAGCCCATTTTAAAGAAACTGCTTATTCTTTTTTGATAGTGGTTAAAAGGTCAGAATAATGCTGATAACCAAATTTACCAAAATTAAAAATGGTAGGCAAAATGTAACCAGTTTAATTAATATGAAAGTTCTTTTGTGACATTACCGTATTAGTAGGCTTTTTGTGTTTCTGTACACCTGACAAGGCTGTCTGAGGCCAGTCAGGGAAAGAGCTTAAGGAAGGAGGCTGTACATCGGCCTACCTCAAAGGTGTTCTTTGTCATGCCGGAGAGACCGTAATACGACGTTCCTGTGGCAGCTGCACAGACACAAAGCTCCCCAATTTCATCCGTCCTGCATAACTGAGGAATTCCATCTGGCTTCACTGAACACATGATGGCTAAAGGCAAAACAGGAAAGCACAAGGCGAGCGTTGAGATGGAGGAAAGGGTGGGGAAATTAATGAATCCATGAATACCAATGAGGACACAAACAGAAAATAGTATCTTGAACAATTACTCCAAGAACAATGCCCAGACACTCATTTTCTCTAAAGAGAGCCATGTTTTTCATATTATAGTAAAATGTCAGATTTCATTATTGTGACATCAATCATTTTGATTATTTTCATTTTAATGTGCAACTGCATTTAAAGAGAATGCCGCCACCTGCTACTTATCTATCAGGATGATAATCAGGTAAGTGTCAAAAGGACGTCAAAAGGACGGATGCAAGTTCTAAATCACAACTTCAACTCTGCATATGAAGAAGCACAGGTACCTGCTTTTTAAGTCTTTCAAAGCTTCTCTACGTTGAAAGCAGAATTTAAAGGCTTTCAAAGCCCTACAGAAACTTTAACCTTTGATTTAAAAGTCCCTGTTTATGGGGAGTCCTTCAGAGAAATATCACTTAACATAAAGGCTTCAGTGTGTGTGTGTGTGTGTGTGTGTGTGTGTGTGTGTGTGTGTGTGTGTGTGTGTGTGTGTGTGTGTAGGACAGAAAGAATGCCCAATGTCTTCCTTGACTGCTCTCTACCTTATTTTTGTAGACAGGGTCTCTCACTAAACCTGGAGCTCATCAATTCAGCTAGGCTAGCTGGCTAGAGAACTGCAAGGGTCCACTTGCCTCTGCCTCCAACACCCTCTACGTTGAATTACATGGCCACTCCAGCTTTCTACAGGGTGCTGGGCATCCAGACTCAGTTCTCATGCTTGCATGGCAAGCACTCTGCCAAATGAGTACTCCCCCAGCACTTTAGCATGTAGTTTAATGATGCTAAATTCTCATTAGTCTGTGACACACACACTTGATGTTTATACAACTTTAGCATCCTACCTACCACCACTACAAACCATAAGCCTGATTAGCCAAGGGCCTCTGAGAGATGCCCTGTATACAGCTAGTGACAATGTAGAGTTTGGAAAGCCCATGACTGCTAGAAGCTGGCGTTACAGCAGCTAACAAAGAGAACCAGCAGAAACATGAGAAGTTAAACTCACAGTAAGAAAAATTCACACTCAAACTACACTAAAAACCCTGGGTCTAGGGCTAGAGAGACAGCTCAGTGGTTAAGAGTACTGGCTGCTCTTCCAGAAGACCTGGGTTTGATTCCCAGCACTCACATGGCAGCTAGCAACTGTCCCTAACTCCAGTTCCAGGGAATCTGATGCCCTCTTCTGACCCCCACAGACTTTGCATGACATGGGTACACTTACATACATGCAGGCAAAACATTCATACACATGAAAAAAAAAAAACCTGGATCTAGTAGCACATGCCTATAATTCCAACTCTTTGAGAGACTGAGGCAGGGGAATGCCAAGTTCAATGCTGCTTGGGCTACACAGTGAGTTTAAGGCCAACCTGGGGGAGTTAGTAAGACCTTAGCTCAAAATAAAATGTAAAAGAAGGGCTGTGGAGGTGGTTCAATGACAGAATGCTTGCCTAACATGTATGAAGCAGTAGGTTCAATTCCCAGTACTAGAAACAAACAAAAAACCCAGAAGACAAAACTAGGCCAAAAAGTCCACTTATCAGCCTGTAAAATTCAGTAAGTCTGATGAAACTCTGGGGAAGGCAGTGGGACCAGTACCCATCAGTGCCAGGAGCACAACTTCTTACAGGGTTTCTGGAAGATGACTATGATCAAAATGATGGATGGGGGTATATTGCCCTTGAAACAGACACAAGACCTTTGTAAGATCAAGCCAGCCAAATCTCAGCATGGATGGGTGAGGGGCCCATGAAGCCCCATTCCTAGGAGAGACGTTTTAGCCACTGATGACAGCTGGGGAAGAAGAGCTAGGTTTCTTCAGGGATGCTGGCCCCGAGAGGCTGCGCATGATGGTCCAACACCCATGTGCATACAGGCAGCACTAGGAAGACTCAGTGGGTTAAAAAACAATGGGAAAGCATATGCAGTTGGGAGTGAAAAAGTGGTGTCTGGAGGAGAGGGAAGGAACTGGAGGGGAGGGGAGGGAAGAGGGGTGGATTAGATCAAGAGACATTATGTGAACATATGAAACTCTCAGTAATAAGAAAGAAGCAGACACCTCAGTTCTGGGAGTTTTTCATTATACTCGCATACTTTCGTAGACTGAAGTTCAAAAGTGGGCCTTCACAGAAGAAAAAAGCAGGCTGCAACTCTGTTGTGGAAGATGTAGATTATGCATTCAAACTGTATACACTGGGAAGGAACAAGCTCTTTATGTGCTTCCAAAGTAACCTAAGACACAAACCATGGTGTGCACAGAAGCCTATCATTACATTTAAAAAGTCCCGAACCAAAGAAACACAGCACATGAACACACATCCACATGGGGTGTGAGTGTTTGTTACTGGAGTATGGGAACATTTCTGAAAAGAAGTCCATGATGCTGTGGGTGTCCTGAGTAGACAGAAAGGTTTCCTGATATATCACCTGATTTTTTTGATGCCTCCAGCATGGGAATCCATTTACTAAAAACTCTTGCTTTGTTTTAAAGAAAGAAAGAAATAGAACTGGGTGGTCTGGCTAATCCTGGGAAATGGGCACTGTGCCAGACACATTTGGAGTTTGGAGGTGTAAGTTTGCTGAGACTCTGAAAGAGCACCCATGAGAGCAGGTGGAACATAAACACCTTTCATGGTATTGTAGGATTTAGAAGGCTATAGAGGATTAGGAGCACAAAGGCCTGGCTTTATTTCTGTTGTGCTATAAATGAGGCAAGTGTAGAAACAATCCAACCTGCAGAGAAAGCCCAGCCCCTGCACACTTCTCCACAGCAAGGGACACTGAGAGACTCTACCTCTCAGTGATTCCTTGAGGGCAGCATGGCCTTCTGTCCACCAGGTTTTATCCAAGCACTCAGATTCCAGCTAGCCTCCTAAGAGAAGCCAGTTGGCTATATATGGTTACAGGGTATAACTACATGCATGATAACCAGTCCTGCTCCTGTACAGACTTGCCCCTCTGTGTGTAAAGGAGCATGAAGGGGGTCTGAAGAAGGAGGCTTAGATTCTGCACAGAGAATCTAAGTGAGAAGGAACTCTGGCTCCATTATGGAAAACAGAAATTGGGGGTCTAAATGCTGATGTGTACAGCCCTGTAAAGCAGGAATTAGGTTAAGAGCATTCTGCAAATAAGAACACGAGTTGGAGTCCTGCTTGTGGCTCCCAGAGGTGCCAAAGCACACTACATGAGGGCTGGAAAGGCAGGCAGGGGTACAGCAAGGTTGGATCTCTTCATTCAAGCGGCTGTCTCTACACAGCTTTCATACTACATACATGCATGGTAGCATCACACAAAATAAAGCCTCTCATTCCTCTAGTCATACGTAATGCTCAAGGGTGAGCTTGAGTATTCAGCTTTGGCTGAGGCATCAGTTAGGATGATGGGGGAAGAGTGGGCCTGTGGGTTTGAAAAAGGGAAGCTGCTCTGGGCTAGTGTTGGGTACAGTGCTGGCCCATGATGCCTTCCTGTGAAGAGGGTCCCAGAGCAGAGACATCCTTCACTAGCTTCTCCAATATTTTGAGTTTCCTTTTCTATTGCTTTAGATGTCTAAAACTTGACAAAGACATCAAAGATTACAAGTTCAGTGCTGAGCACCAGAGCTCACACAGAGGGACAAGGAATGGACAGGAAGAGGAACCATTATTAACTGATGGATCAGGAGGCCTTGCTGGGCCTGCCAATTTCATCCTAAGGCTGCACTTACCTCCAGGCATGACGAGGCCGACATCCTGTACGGTGAGCACTGACAGCTTCTCCTCTGAGTCCACACGGATGACACCGTAGGTCAGCCCATGCATAGACAACACACCTCGGCCTGGTGGCTGGTTGCTATCATCTGTGGGCCTGAAAGGGCAATTTAGCTGAGTACATGGAAGCAGAAAAACCATTCTACACGCCCTCCTTCCACCAGATGTTCACAAATACATACAGTGGAGCAGCCACCTGTGGAGTAGGGGGAGCCCCTGAAGAGGGAACTAGCTGCCACGTGAGCCAGCACTCAGGAGCACTTGTTTGCTGTCTGTGCACTGTTAGTTCTACCATGAGTCAACCTTAGAGTTCATAGGCTAATTAAAAACACTTCAGAATGTAAAGGTGGCATCAGCTGTCCTACCCTCATGGCTCTCTCAGGGCGGTGGTCATAAATAGAGAGAGCAACTGATTCTGGACACCCTTTCTGCTCTCCATGAAGTCTGGCTTTCTAGTCTTGCAAATGGTAAACAAGAGAGAGCAGTACCTCTAAGAACATAAATAAGCCCAGGGAACCAAAATGCGGGGGATCCTGGCTGGTTAGCCTCCGTTCAGATGTATGCTGTCCAAGCTCAATTTCATACACAAAATCTAAAATTCTATGCTATACTATGCAGGTTTTAAAGAACAGATGATGACATGCTGTAAGATGCTTTGTGGGTTCAGCTTAGGCACAGATCTGTAGGGATGACCGCATCTGCTGTCTCTCCATTGGTGTCAGCAGGCTCCAGGGTTGAGCCCTCACTGACTTTCTGGCCCCTCATACATCACTCTCTCATGTCCCAGCTCATATTCTCTCTCTCTCTCTCTCTCTCTCTCTCTCTCTCTCTCTCTCTCCTCTCTCCTCTCTCAGAGTCTTCAGAGGTTAGCTCAATTATGAGTCTTCTCATTGCCTAATAAAAATACACGTGATCAGTACTCCTGTCTCCAGAGCATAAAGCATCTGACTATGAGCAAGTCTTCCTCCATCAAAGTATAACATTCCTAAGAGCAGGCAGGTGGACTATTCACTTGTGCATCTCACTCCTAGAACAGTGTCCAGCAATAAATACCAGTTAACTGAATAAATAAATTACAAAATGTTTAGGATTATGGATTTTATCTCTAAAGATTCAGTGTTCAGCTAAGCTAGAGATCATACTTTTGTTTTTATTATCTTCTGCATTTTTATCATTTTTACTGCATTATATTTATTGTGTGCATGTTGGGTATGTATGTGCCATAGCCTGTGAATGTGGAAGTTTTCTTCCATTGTGTGGGTACAGGGATTGAACTCAGGTCATCAAGTTTGGTTGACTGTATTTTTACAATTTTCCACATGCAAATTTTAACATGGTTTTAAAATCCCAAAGTTGCCCTATAAATGTGAGTTTGTAGTTTAATATAAAAATAATGTGAAGGTTAATAGTTAAAGATATAAATGGGGCAGCATAAATGTTAAAATTTGCAAAAGGAGCTTTCACTTGAATCAAGTAGTTGAGATATTAAAAAATATAGGTGTCAGAATATAAAATTATTTTGCCCATAATAATAAGGGTAGTGCTAAATTTAAAAAAGAAAACTCATATGAAACTACCAGGACTCAATAAGCTAAAAACACTCCAGTATGTACTATTTTCCTGCCCTTTTCTCTTTTCCAGATCACTCAACAAATCAAAACTCTGAATAAAAGTGTTCTCATACATCCCACTTCTATTCCTCCTCCAAAACCACTCCACAAAGCTGTGATGTGCAGGCCAGAAGTTAAAAGCTGCGGGGTGAAGCTGGGGATGTAGCTCAGCTGGGAGAGTGCTTGCCTGGCATATACAATCTCCAGTACTACATAAACTGGTATGGTGGTACAGGCCTGTAATCCCAGCACTTGAGGTGAGGCATGGGGATAAGGAGTTCAAAGGCATCCTTGGCTAGCCTAGGATATATGAGACCCTATCTCAACAATAATAAAACAACAAAACAAAAAAACCTTAGGGTTGGCTGTGGGCTAAACCGTTTGCCGTCAAAGACAACCCTCCTGGTAACTGCGAAGACCTTATTTGGAAACAGGCCCTTCACAAATTGATAAACCAAATTAGTAGATTATACTAGCTTAGGGTGGATCTAAATCCAATGACAAATGTCCTCATATGAGAAAAGCAAACACTGACAAACTGTCTTGTGAAAAAAAGAGGCAGATTTATACAACACACATGTAAGTTAAAAGATGTCAGGGCTGGTGGCTGCCTCCAGCAAATACCCGTTGGGGCACCATCTGGGAGAGATGTGTTCCTTGGGACCTCTAGAAGGAATGAATCCTGCCTATACCTTGACTTTGGGCTTAGGACTCCAGAACAAGAGAAACAGTTTCTGATGCTTGAAAGCAGCCAGTTTTGCTTCTTTGTTATGACAGCCATAAGAAACTAACACTCTGTCTTAGTAACAAAAGTCAGAGAGCCACATGGAAGTAAATTCCTCCTTCATTAGCAGTGACCATCCCAAGCATGGGAAGACTGGCCCCAAGCAAATGTGGTGAAAGCAGGCTCTGTAAACTCAAAGCCAAGAGGACAGCATGCTCTCAAGGTCTAATAGTATGTGGTTTGCTACTTTAGTTACAACATCTTTTTCCCTATGTTTAGTACCAGTTAAAAAGAATCACAAATGTAACTAAATCTCTTAAGTTCATAAACTGTTATAGAGCTTGTTTGTAAAATGAAAGGAGAGATAATATATTCACATGAAATATAAGTAAATAACACTAACCTTGAATTAACTTCATCTACTACCACCTATTTCTATTTAATAGATTTCCTTGCTGGTCAGAGAAAAAGACCCTGGGTTTTCTTCCTTTCAGACTTACAAAATACAGGCCAAAAGGCAGGAAGAAAGGCACAGATATCCCTGACACTTTCTGCAGCCCCACCACTCCACAGATGACAGCATTCTTGGGTCTGTCCTCAACTTCTCCACAATACCCAGTGTAGCCAATGGCCTCTTCTTCCCAATGACAAAGCCAATATGTTTATGTAGTTCAGTGCCATAAACGTTTTGACCCTTTTACACATGTACACTTACTCACATCTCACAACAAACCTTTACAGGTACTACTGTCTTATTTTCAGATTAGAACCCAAGGCACAGACATAGTGCATTAGTTAATCATCTTGTTGATGTGACAAAGTACTTTAAAAAATCAACTTCAGAAAGTTTATTTTATTATGGCCTTAGGGTATAGTCCATCATGGTGGGGAAGGCACGGGAACAGGAGTGTGAGGCAGTTGGTCATATTGCATCCGTAGCTGGGAAACAGAGAGAGATGAATGCTGGAGCTCAGCTTGATTTCTCCTTTGTATCCAGTCCAAGACACTCCAGCCCATGGGATGGTGCTACCCACAGCAAGTCTTCCCACTTTAACTAACCCAAGTTCCCTCATAGACATCCCAAGAGGTTTCTGTCCCAGGTGGGTCTAGATCTTGTCAAGCTGATAATCATTATTAACCATCACATATGCCAATTGTTCAAATAAGTGTGGAGCTTGATGGACTTCAGATCCAGAGCAGAGCCCATGCCCAGACTTGAACACTATGGGCCTCTTATCTGGATGTTTAGATATAAACTTTGGTTAGATATAAACTATGTACATATGCAAATATATTTTCAAAGGAAAGCCAAATCACAATATGCATATTCTACAGCATGTTCCCACAGAAAACAGCTGCAGATTTCCACCTGAGTGGCTGTGTGTGCATGGACACACCTATATACGGGTGTATGTGTGCAGATGAATCATCAAATTCACCTATCTTGTTACACAGTATTCAGTAATATGAATATATAATAATTATTTATTTTAGTTCAATTTTTATATGGTAGGAAATATTTCTACAAAATACAAATGTAGAAAGATAGCAGAATAAGAAAGTATCTACACTTAAAATTTTAGGAAAAAACTGAAAGCCTTGTAAAATGAACATACTGCTTTTTATTCCCTCTAACAGAATGGGAGTACACAGCGTTTTCTCATTGATTAGACAGACCTGCATGCAGCACTGAGTTATGTTATATGTGTTCACACATTCTTTACAGGAACCTTGTGCAGAGATGAGGAGAGGCTATTTCAAGCCCAAGACCACACCTCAGGAAAAGGTATAGGTACCAAACTCAGCAGGGTTCAAGAATCTGCTCCTAACCATGGTGCTGAGCTATCCCTGAGCAGTGCACATTTCTGAATGTGCTTGATAACACCCACAGTCAAATTTTATAATTTTTCCAGGTTGTTTGTTTCAGCCTTTGTTCCTTGATTACTGCATGAGGTTAGTTCCTATTGCTGTGATAAAATACCCTGACAAAGCAAATTAAGGAAGAGCTTGACTTATAGTTCCAGAGGGGATACAGCCCAACATGATGGAGAAGGCATGTCAGAAGGAGCATAAAACTGGTCTGTCACACTGCATCAGCAGTCCAGGAGCATGGAGTGAACACAAAGTGGGAACATGCTATAAAACCTCAAAGCCCACCCCCAAGTAACATACTTCCTCCAGCAAGGTTCAACCTCCTAAAGGTACCATAACCTTCCCCAAAAGTGCCAACAACCAAGGACCTACTATTCAAATACATGAACCTATGACATTTCACATTCAAACCATAAGAGTTATGAATTCCGTAGATCTTTCTCCATCACAACTGTTTTAGGAAATAAAAACTCCAAGTACATAAAGGAGATAGTGAAATGAAAAAAAAGTGATGATAAGCAGAAACCAGGGAGATTAAAAACATTAACTGCAATAACCAATATGAGAAAATTAAATAATGGATGATAAAGACAGAGACCCATTTGTCAATCTCCAGACTCAGTTCAGCAGGGGAGGAATATGCTCATGGTGCTACAGCAGTGTGTGCCTCACAGAGCTACAAGAGGAATAAGCTCAGCAATTTCTAGAAATGTTAGGGGCAGTTTTTCCACCTAGAGATATGGAAGAGGAAAAATATATAGCTGTGCATTGTATACAATGTTGCAATGATGTATAAGAAGGAAATTAAAAGAAACAGAAAGGAACATATTCAACCTTAGCGATGTGGCCTCATAAGGAAAGTGCTCTGGGACAAGTGGCTTCAACCTGTGT